AGACAGGTCCCTGGGCTTCTCTCAGCACCGGCGGTCCCGGGGGGAGGCTAGGAGGGTTGTATTGGGCGACCCACCGGCCTGAGCGCTCCCCGGTGCCTCCGGCAGGTCGTGCCGCCTGCTGATCAGCGCTTAAGGCAGCGGCGTGGGCCGAGGGCGTGGGGAAATGGAGAGCGCTGAGACCGGCAAGAGCTGTCATGTCAGTAAGGAAGATTAGGTTTCGAAGAAAGCTGTTTTCCAAGCCAGTGTTCTTTTCACTGGAAATTGTCCTTTAGTAGTACTGCAGGTGAAGGACGTGAACCTCGTCCAACGGCGAACTCGGTTTCCTGAGCTTGTTTGTGGAAGAGCTCTAAACTCGCCCGTGCTTTTCAGCCTGACTTTGGACGTCTCTGATGTAGTGCTGCGTGTCTCCGTGCTGTGCCAGAGGTGTTAGAATTGGGAAGATGAGTTTTATGGGACTCATAGGTTTAATAAGCAGAGCTTTTTTCTTTGAAAACTTACTGTAAAAATACAGTTAACATGAAAAAGAAATGTGAGATAGAAAAGTGGATTCTTTTACATGAGAGAAGGCAGGTAGCAAAGCAGCTCTGAAGATGCAGCGCAAACACTAGATCTGAACCAAAAGAAAATGCATCCACAAGGAATTAAGAAACAATGTGGAAACAGTTGATTGAATTCAAGGATAAGATATTTTTTAGGTAATGGTTTGATCATGTACTGTATTTCCTAGCCTATAGGCTAAGCTCTGCTTGGGCTAACCTTGAGCTTTAAAACACAAAACACACCGGATGCTTTTCAGAATTACGTAAACAAAATACTGTTTTTTAATAGTGCCATTACTTGCTTGCATTTGCGGCCACTTGCAATTCTGTCTATTAGAGAAGTAATATTTAACTTTTTGGGGAGGGATGTTATCTTACTTCTGCATCTCAGAGCAGAAGTGATGACTGTGACACTTCAGCTTGTGCTGTCAGGCTTTTAATTAAAGGAGTGTAACATATAGGTCATTGCTATGGATGACTGAATTTGATCCCTTCTTCCACAGGCAATACTGGAAAATGTTAATATATATTTGTGAACCCATTTTTTTCTTTCTCATCAGTTCTGAGTTACCAAGCAGATGTCCTTCGTTTGCCATATCTAATTTAAAAATTAAAGTGCAATATGTTCTCACCTCTGCCTATTGATAAGTGTGCATCCTCACTTTGTTGTTAATAACTGCCATTACAGAGCTCCAGTAACTTACTAAAGAAGTTGAAGGTTTTTTCGCTCTTCTTTTTACCTGTGGAGGTAACAATTAAGTACATAGATGAAAGACTTTGTAAAGGTGTACAAAAGATGCATTAATGTGAAACAGTTAACTGTCATTCTCATCTTCTATTCAAAGTAATTATCTTTTTGTGTTTTATGTTACTGTTGTGTAATCAAAGTCCTGGGAGGGGGAGAAGCAGGGGAAGCAAAGGAGTGAATGTCAGGAATATACCAGATTTTTCTTGTAAACTCTATTCTGCTCTACTTTCATAACTGGAATTAGAACAAATACTCAGTGCTGAAAATAGTCATATGTCCATATAAACAGAACACCTTGAAATTTTGAAAACGTGAATAGCAAATAAAATGACAAAATTATGTGATTAGGTGGTTTCCCTAAAGCTTTGTGATATACAGAAACAGGTGCAATTGCCTTGATTATCTTTTTGTGTGTCATTTCAATAAGGTTTATTTATGGACTTTTTGAAACTTATGTATAGTTTACTGTTGTTTGAACCAGTACTGGAGGCAGATCTCAGGGGTTTTTCTACAAGTAGAAGCATTCCCTTCTTTCCAGAGAGATTAAATTGGTCAAATCCATGAAAGAAGTATTTGTTTGCTTCATGATACCAAAACTTATAAAATATGTGTAACTTTTTTCTATGTGAGAATGGAAAGAGTTCCTACTGCATATAATAAATTATCTTTTGAAATTGGGTAGCAAAATAGTAATTTGTGGCAATTAAATAGGAAGACATATGTACCGTGGTTTTATATTTCAGAATATAGACCTGTGGCCATAATTTCGAAGTTAAATATAAGTTTCTGAACAACTTTGTGAATAAGGGAAGATTCTGAAAACAAGTTATTTTAAATACTCAGTATCTCAGTTTCTTAAGGAAAAAAGATGAATTGTCTCCTTCCTGGTACAATAGAAAATGTGGGGGAAATAACAGAGATAATTGCAGCAGAATAAAGCAGGCACAATTTAAGAGACAGAAACTGTAGAAGCAGAGGAACCTGCACTTCCTTGGTCTGTGTTTTACAGAGCAATTCACTTCTTCAGGAACTTTCTTCTAATGTCTTTGTGGATTCTAGAGGTTGTTTATAAAACAACACATGAATTTAAGATGATGAAAGCAAACCACACAGATGCCAGGCTTTGTTTGCTTAACAGTCATGCAGGGTACTGCACTGTTCTAGCTGAAATCACATGCACCAATTTTGCTTAGTGTGTTTGTTCACATAATCGTTTAAAATGCTGACTTACATGCTTGGGTACTGATGGGGGATGTCTATGCTTGATAACTTTAGGGTTCTGTGCTATAAAACAAATCCAGGATTGTAGGAATTTTATCTAAATTTTCTTGACTTTAGAAATACAGACTTGTTAAAAATTAGTCCACTCTTAGAGAAGGGTAGCAAAAGCAATGTGCAGGAATGAATGAGTCGCAGTGGGGATTCAAGAAGAGTCATGTGAATTCATACTTGGAAGTGAGAACTTCCTGATCTGCTATAAGGAAAGTGAATGGCTTAGGAGAACCTGTTACTCATGATACCATTGTATTTTAAGCTCTATCTGAAAGAGTTATGTATTACGGGTTTTTCAACTTCCCAACCCCCTTCAGGCTTTTGAAACTTTTTGTTTCTCCCTTTGTTCATGGGTGAAAGTAGTTTCAAAGCATGTCTGTAGCTGTTTAGGATATGGTGGAGAGTGAAAAAAAAATCAGAATACTTGAGAAGTTTTCCTGTTTACTTGAAGAAACTACTTTTAGATGGGCTTTTCTTAGAAGTTTCTTAATTACTTTTTTCACAGTTGTCTCTCAGTAATGTATTCTGCAACCTGTAAAAATGTATTTTTGCATTGAAATGACTAAAACAATATGCATCTTGTTAATTGGCAGATTTAAGGCTTCAGAAGTAGATAGTTTGAGGCTGTTGATATACTTTGTATTCTATTTATTTGCTCTGTGTGATGTGCATTGTTAATCCATTTTAGCTTGATATCAAAATATGTTTTCTTTCATAGAGTGAAGACACGCAGCAACAAATTATCAGAGAAACTTTTCATTTAGTATCAAAACGTGATGAAAATGTCTGTAATTTCCTAGAAGGAGGATTGTAAGTATCAGGTTTGGAATAAATGCCCTTATTGGCTTGCTAATATTACTTCTGATTATAATATAACTTTTCATATTTGTGCTTTAAATGCCATATCACTTGAGATATTTTAATACACAAAGAATAATATGTTGCACCAGGTATACATAATCTTTCCTAATGGAAGCATACATACATATATATGTATGTAATAAAAAGAGTTAGGCAATAAAACTAATTTCTCCTAGTGCTGTAACTGACAAAGTGCCATATCTAGTGCTGTAATTCTTTCAGACACAAGATGGGGAAGAAACAGACAGATTGTACCTAACCACTTTCCTTAGAATCAAGCTAGAGATTTCTGATCTCATTTGAAGAGGCATTGGCATTTGCTATAAGCATTGTGAAAGTTAAAATATTTTGTAGTTGGTGCTTTGGCTTGAGCTCCTAAAATTTGATTGGGCAGTATCTGATAGTAGGATTACTCAGGCTTTTTATCAGGTCTCAGGCTTGCTATATAAACTAGGAAGGAAAAAAAAAAAATTTTAAATGTGCTAACACAGTTTAAGCCAAGATTTTTTTAATTTAATATAGGTGGAGCAAGGTAGGAGGAAAGCCAGACTTACGTCTTCTGTCTCTAGAAGATACAAAATATTCTTCCTTGAATCATCTTGGTTGCTTTTTTAATGTTATCTTGCTTTAGTTGAAGAGAAGAAATTTTGAAATGGAAAAGTTTTGAGATGTCATCAACAGTAAATAGTCACTAAGCCACCTTCAAGGAAAAGGGATCTTAATCGATGGAGCAAGCTGAGGATTTCCAGTCTAAACACAGAGATTGTCATAGCCTGTTAAATATTGTAATTATGGAAATTTCTGTTTACTGGAAGTTAGTATGTTAACACCTACATTTGCTGTGTGCTGTCAGTTAAATGCTTAGCTGTACCATGTCAGCTATCATGTCTTTCCTGATCAAGATGATTCCTGATTTTTTAAATTTTACTATTTTTTAAACCAAAGTCATTCTCTTCCAACTACTCAACTGTTGATTCTATTGTTAGGTTCTCAGAGATGGTTTCAAGCTAGAAACATGCTGGCTTTAATTCTATGGTGACAGACAGATGCCATTTGGAGCTTTTTTTAAAAAAAAAACACAGGTGTGCAACAAAAAAAAGACAGAGGACACAATTCTGGATTTCCTCCTACTGCTCAGTTCCAGAGTTAACCATTTCAGTATCTTTTATCAATTTTGGGGTTTTTTTTTCAGGACAGGGATCACTTTCTAATTTGCAGTTTACCCGAAGGCCTCAACAGTTTATTTATACTAACTCTGTGTACTGAAGTATTTGAAAGAGTTGGGAAAATAAAGCATAAAAGAGGAAACTTCAGTTGCCATTTCTTTCCAGTTTCACGTTTGTTTGTAATATTGTCATGATATTTTTTAAACATGGTTCCTGCTTTCAGGAACAAAGACTTCCTTCTTGCCCCACTCAAGCATTAATGCAATGCAACATGCTTAAGCAAAAGATACCTAAAAGTTTTTTTTGTCCTTTTTATTTATTTATGTAGTCTCTGCCAGTGATAAAGGCAGAAACTAATGTCAGTGATCTGAAGAACATTTCTTCTTAATGATTTATGTACTTCTGTTGGGAAGGCCACAGCAAAAGAGTGAAATGAAATACCTGTTGAGAACTCTCTCTTCTTGTTCAGTAACATGATGATTATTGAATCTATAAAAATTGATATTTTTAGGGTTCTGCACTTCACAACTATCATTTCTCAAGATATCAAAACATTTTATAGCACAAGAGTGTTACATGTTCTTGATTATTAAGGGGTCCATAGACTCAG